CGTCAAAGCCACGAACTCAGCCAGTCAAAAACCAAAAAAAGGGTTTAGGGTTTAGGGCTTATAGGGTTTAGGGTTTAGGGCTTATAGGGTTTAGGGTTTATGGGGTTTAGGGTTTAGAGTTTAGGGTTTAGAGTCCATGTAAGCCAAACAATGGGACCGTGCAGTGAGCCGAGCGGCAGGAAAAAACAATCTCAAGCAAGTTCGCTCTAATGCAGACCCGTGATTAATGAACCCCGTCCCCTTAACTATTCAGGTTCTTAAAGGGCGGGGGTCTACTAATCACGGGTCTATAATATGTGAGCAGGCACCCGAGGCAACAACGTTGCACCTGACATGGCCGAGGCCATGACTGGAGATAGCACACATGTGAGCATTTTACAGAAACCATACGCTAAACAACATTCTCCGAAACGCAACTGCTGAGAAAAAAAGACGCGCAACTTGAAGAGCGTCGTCTTTCTACGAGCCCAAGATGTCAGGCATTCCCACTACACCACGTCAAACTTGGCGTCATGACATGCCCTTTAACCCTCACTGGCCCTAAACCCTAAGGCACCAAACTCAATGGCCTAAACCCTAAACCTTCAATGGCCCTAAACCCTCTAAACCCTCAGTGGCCCGAAACCCTAAACCCCCCATGGCCCTAAACCCTTGGCCTGCACTCTTGGCAAGATCGAGGGAGCTTCCTTGGGGGAGTCGGAATCATCCAACAGGTCCACCTGCCCAAGTTTCGGGTGTAAGGTTTAGGGTTTAGGGTGCTCAAAGCCGAGTGCACTGGGCTGCAACTCCTGTGAGGAAGGGAAGCGTACTGACTGTAATATAATATGGGTATATATAGTTGAAAGTGACAAAGAAGGTTTGCTTCTAATGGCAACTTAAGTTGATTTCCAGATGAGCTATAGGCTAAACTCCTGGTATCCCCCTTAAACCCTTAATAATAAAAAAAAACTATTGTAGTCTCCTTTCTGAACCTCTCTATGACCACCCCTTTAATTTAAGGACTTTAGACTGTAGATCAAACCCTTAACTTTAAACTCAAAACCCTGTATATGTATATATATATATACTCCTAAGGAGTTTAGACCATAGCTCAGATAACAGCAACCAGTTTCCAGTTGCTGCACGCATCGCAGGCTCATTTCTGCCTGTGCGCGGGGAACAAGTAAGCAAGGCAGGATTTACTTCATTCCCGAATCTGTCCTGGAACCCTTGTTTAGGATTTAGGGTTTAGGGTTTGGGGTTTGGGGGGTTTAAGGTTTAGGGTAGATGCGCTTTAGCCGTTCATGGGGGGCTATAATGAGCAAAACGATTGTTTTGCACGACAGCTTTTCATTCTAGGCCATACCCCCAACGAAAGGGACATCCACTCAAACAGCTTACGCTTACAGTATGTTTTTTGGGTTCCTAATAAACCAACACTTGGAGAGTCAGGGGGACTACTTATCCCCCAGAAGCCCCACAGTAACCACAGTTATCCCCGTTATTAACCCACTCACCAAGTCCCCCTGACCCCAAACCTTAAACCCTAAATCTAAACCCTAAACCCTAAATGATACAGTAGCTTCCTTTTTCCATTCCTCATATATCCCCACATATCGCCACATATCTCCACCTCATTAATCCCATTGAAGGGAGGCTAATTTTCCTTGACCTTAAACCCTAAACCTTATTAACCTACTTGACCCCCCAAAGCATGCACCCCACAGCATAAACTAAGGGCCAAGCCTCTGTTGGCTCAGCGAGATCCGCGAGCGTGCCTCTGCCGAAACATCAAGATAGGATTTAGGGTTTAGGGCTTAGGGTTGAGGGTTCAGGGTTAGGGGTTCAGGGTGGAGGGTTTAGGGTTGGGGGTTTAGGGTTGAGGGTCTAGGATTGGGGGTTTAGGGTTAGGGTTAAGGGTTTAGGTCTGCAGCCTTTGGATTTAGGTTTGAGGGTTCGGGTTTCAGGCTTAGGTCCTCCTACTACGCCCGCTTATACTACCCTCCACCCAGGGCTTCCCCTTAATCGACCTTACCCATCCTAAAATAATCTTAGATACCTGGTTGAGGAGGAGCCTAGAGAGGAGTAGTGTAGGGGTTGTAGGGGAAGCCATGAAAACAAGTCAATGCAGGAACCGAACATCACTGAGGATTAAAGGTCGCAGGGGTTTAGGATTTGAATGGGCCGGATCGAAGCTATAGCGTTGTCAACTAGATTCTACTGAATTCCGGCCTGAGTGTATTTAGCATTTGGTAGTTTCCCAAAATAAGGGGACCCCAATATAGACCCCAAAATACTATAGTCCTTAGTATTGGGACCCCCAAAAAAGGTACCCCTAATTTTGGGAAACCCCCATTTATGTCTAGGGTCTTAGGGATCCCGGGTTTGGATGTAGGAGCTCGTTGGCTACGGACAGACTTCTGGCGCCAGGAATATGAGCTATAGTCTAAACTCCTTAAAGGGGGGTTATATAGGGGATTATATAGGGGATTACTATAGGGGATATTAAGGGGGGAAACTAGGAGTTTAGACTATAGCTCATATGAATGAGAAGCTATGTTGGCTTGAGTCTGGACATATTGGACCGTCTGTTTTACTGACGGGTATATACCCCCAAACTCTCAATCTGAAGATATTTGAAGACAGGGCCCACGGCCTACCGTTCTGTATAAGTGCGGCCTAACACATGTCGGAAAAGCAAAGTGGTTCTCTACGTAACACCGTCTTGCGATCCTCATGCTGTCTAGTAACCCTAAACCCTAAACCCCTAACTGTGGTGAACCTAGACCCAATCAACCCAAGACCGGAGACCCAAATTCCTCCATCTAGATGCCTCATTCCAATCTCTCTGATATAGGAACCATAATTTCTAGGAAGCCTATACCTCGATAAATGAGATGCATACAGATGTACACGGCATCAAAGTACCGTGGCTTCGAAAATAAAAGAAATATCCTATAACGGTTGAAGGTCGAAGCTCTAAATCCTTAACCTGAAATCGGTTCTGCCAGCAAGGAACTCGCCGGAGACAACTTCGCGGATGTCTTCGTGGCTGACAAGCCTGCCAGCGACCTGAAGCAACGGTTTTGCAGGTTGGGGTTTAGAGTTCAGGACTGGGGGTTGAGGGTTTCAAGCTTAGGGATTAGGGGCAACTTTCACTTTTGTCTTTTCTTTTTCAGCCATTTGCCGAACCTATCTCGAACATTAATCAAGTCTGGGCTAGGCCAGGGTATAGGGCTTAATGAGGGCTCCTGGGATTTACTTGGAGGTTCGTTTTACTTAT